ACATTTACTCTCTCCTCCAATCACCCATCCAGGTTCTGCAGGGCTTTCCAGACATGTCAGGGCAAAGCCACCAACAGCCTGGCTCAAGAGGCAGGAAAATAGGCCAGGACCCACATTTCTGAAAACCCTTTGTTGGCTTTATTCAAAAGGAGATAAGGATGAAAAAAGGTGACAAGATGCTTGGCAGATATAAAATGATGAGCACTCAGCTTATCTCCCTATCCTCAACATCTTCTTCTCCTCTTTACTTTTTTGTGACAACAAATGTGGGAGACATCAGGGAAAATGTAAAGGCACAAGCAGCAGGGATGTAGCACCAAGAAGAGGGGACAAGGAAGAAGATGCTCAACAAGGGCTAAAAAAGCCTCTTTCCTAGCAGAGGCTGAGCACGCTGGCTCTGGTCCAACAAAGCACTTAAGCATGTGCCTAAATTAAATTTGCCTTTACTGGGGCTCTTCGAAGGCTTCAGCACATTCTCCAGCAACCGGCTACAGCACGACTAGGGAAAAGGAGGAGCTTTCAAGGGACCCGAGTCTCAGACAGCAGCCAGGTTAGCGAGCACTGGGAGAGCACATTAGCCAAGATTAATGCAACATGGCAATTCCACTGACAGGAACAGCCCTAGCCATCAGCAAATCCTTCCTAAACATAAAATAATAAGTAAAAAAGTTTAGGTATTAAGATGATCAGTATCAACTTCTCTTCAGCTTCTCTCAGCTCAAGGTAGGCAGAGCCTGATGCAGATGTTGCAGGGCATGTCGGTGCCAGCTTGAGCAAACATCTGAACCCACCGTGCTGTTCTTGGGGTGGCAAACCCCGTCCTGGAGGAGAAGCACCGAGCCAGAGGCTGAATGGCACTTCCCACAAACACCAGGGTGAGCCACCAGCAGCTCCCACAGCCTTGGCAGTGCCCTGCAGAGCACTGGCAGAGCAGCAGGGGCACGGCCCTGCGGGGTTTGGTGCCACAGCTCGGGGCTTTTCCCCTGCTCGCAGCCCCTGGGGCTCAGGGCTCTGCGAGGAAACCCCCGGGGCTGCCCTTGGCCAGGGGCTGCCAGGGCCGAGGGGCACGGCTGCTCCTCCTGCTCCTGTCCTGTCCCCCTGCTCCTGTCCTGTCCCTCCTGCTCCTGTCCTGTCCCTCCTGCTCCTGTCCTGTCCCTCCTGCTCCTGTCCTGTCCCTCCTGCTCCTGTCCTGGTTTCTCCTGCTCCTGTCCTGGTTTCTCCTGCTCCTGTCCTGTCCCCCCTGCTCCTGTCCTGGTTCCTCCTGCTCCTGTCCTGGTTTCTCCTGCTCCTGTCCTGTCCCTCCTGCTCCTGTCCTGTCCCCCCGATCCTGTCCTGTCCCTCCTGCTCCTGTCCTGTCCCCCCTGCTCCTGTCCTGTCCCTCCTGCTCCTGTCCTGGTTCCTCCTGCTCCTGTCCTGGTTTCTCCTGCTCCTGTCCTGTCCCCCTGCTCCTGTCCTGTCCCTCCTGCTCCTGCCCTGTCCCCCCTGCTCCTGTCCTGTCCCCCCTGCTCCTGTCCTGTCTCACGCTGGGATGAACCGCAGCACCGCCGGTGTCTCCCAGAGCGGCTCAAGGCACAGCCTGGCTTCAGAACTGTTACTGTGATGACAATGGGAGAAGCTGAAATTTCAAATACAAAGCTCTGCACGGGGCTGCAAGAGAGCAGAAAGGGCACATTTCAGCACATACTCCGTACGCACAGAGAGCTCAATTCCAGCACAGCCAGGAGCACAACCAGCAGTTTTTATGGCCAGCTCAGGTCTCGCTGCGTGCCGCTGCTCCCCAGCAGGTGAATGAGTGAATGCCTGTTCCTGGGACAGCCACACAGGCGTGGATTGAAAGCGACCCCGGCCAAACACGAGGGGCGGCTCCTGGACGAGGATGTCCCGGTAC